AAAATTTATTTCAAGTAAGCCAGGGCAAACAATCTTATAAAAGAACACCACAAACCAGTGCATCTACTAGAAAAATTAAGAAGCTGGATAATAGAATTTAGTAACTGTGAAGTGCCTGGGGCTTTCCAGTGTATAGTAGCACATTTAAGAAGAAACGTGGCCGGGCGGTGGTGGCGCACGCCTTTAATCCCAGCACTCGGGAGGCAGAGGCAGGCGGATTTCTGAGTTCGAGGCCAGCCTGGTCTACAGAGTGAGTTCCAGGACATCCCGGGCTATACAGAGAAACCCTGTCTCGAAAAACCAAAAAAAAAAAAAAAGAAGAAGAAACGTGATGCCCACCTGTCTCTTTGTTCACATGTTGCCAAACGAGTGAGAAAATACTTTCAATTAGATCATAGTCAATACAAGTTTATCACAAAAGTTAAACAAAAGTAGAATTCTGAGGAACAGACTTCCATCTCTAATAAACATTCCAGAGTCAGATATCAATACATCTAACAGTGTCATGTAACTTAAAGACATTTGCTGTAAACCTAATGCTAAGTTTAACAGTATCTTGCCCTCAACTGACTCTTCTCAAGTCAAGAAAGTCACTTAGGGGACTAGAAAATACAGCTCAGGAGCAACTGAAGGAGAATAAAAGCGGATGGAGGACAGGAGGGCAGGAGGGCTGGGGTTAGTGTAAACGTACTAACTAGTGTCTACTAAAGAAAAGACAGTCTTCCTAATCTGTTTCCCAGAAAGAAAGGGTAGTTGAAGACTGACTCCAGTGAACCCTCGAAGTAACTACAGCCATTACTTTACTCAAATGCAGCATCAGCTTAGATAGACAGATTAGAAAAGATGCCTGCTAACTCCTCTCCATTTTATGAGGAAGCATTCCAGTCTGGAAAAACAATGCTTTATTTAATGCGATATTGTCCATTCTAAATAAAAAGAGTAGCTAGCGCCCACAGTACGGAGGCACTGCACACACACTAAGTCTGCTTGTGTTTGTGTGCCTCGTTAACAATACAGAATCCCAAGAAATGGCCCTATATGATTCTTCTTCTCACACCAATAACAGATCCAATAAATGCCAAGGAGATGATAGTTTATGTCCATTTCTTGGACGTATACATCCTACCCTTCCTTTATCAAGGTTTTAGGATTGAAGCAAAATTGTAAACTCAATAAAAATGTTTAAAAACAAACAGAAGCAAGTATGCTGGAATAGGATCAATCTCTCTGTATTCCAACCCTCATCAGACACAGGATTTTGGAAAGTGGCCGCCATCACTCCCACCCAGCCATCTAGGCACCAGATGCCTAGGCACATCTGGACACAAAGGCACGAGTACAAAGACATGAGTCCATGTGCCAGTTATTAGTATAAAAGTCAGTGAGGAACTGCTCATGATCACACCTTTAATATGTGAGATAATTTACAAAGTAGTCAGATATGCCACTGAGGATCTAGTTTGTCTATAAACTACTTTTTTAAAAATAAAGAAGAATCAAAATTCATGTCTAACTGTTTAAATGTATTTGCTGAACAAAGAATATTTTAATTTCATCTAAGCTTTCAAAACCAAATAATCTGCCTTCTCATTTCCATAATATGCCTAATCCAGACAGACACTTGACTTAATACAAAGTTACCTTTTTCCTTAAGTAAGAGTTGGAGGTTTTCAGAAGCTTCTCTACCTCTCCTGCAAGATCTCTGCACATCTCTGAGGAGCCCATGCAGCCGAGGGTACAAAGTGCTAGCCCCTGCACAAACTGCGTGCTATGATTAAGATCACTGCAAGAGAAAAAAAAGGGAAGAAGTTGGAACAAATACTAGGACTCCCCACAAAGCAGCCTAACAAAGTCTCAAGATTACTCCACTAAAAAAAAAACTAAGCCATCAGGGCTGAAGAGATGGCTCAGGAGAAGAAGCTTGCCTTGCAAACTTAAAGACCTGAGTATAGGTCTCGAGAGCCCATGCAAAGCCAGACTTAGTAAGCAGCACATGTGTGCCCTATGGCCAGATGGAAAGCAGAGTCAGAGAAATCTCCAGAAGCTTTTGCAGGACTGCTAGCCTAGGCTATGAAATGTGAGAACAAGAGATTCTGTTTCAAACAAGGTAGAAGACAGGACTGACATATAAGACTATACAAGTACTATATAGCTAGCTATGTGTACACTCACACGTGAAAACATACACACACAATATAATAAAAATTCATTTAAAATTAATAATTAATTTAAGCTTATACCAACTTTATTTCAAAATATTAACATAGTGAACCAACACTGTTTAAAATTTCTATCCAAGGTTTTAAAATGACAAACTAACAAGAATGTGTTACCTGTTAGATGCTAAAGATATCCACTTTAGAAAATTTAGCAAACACTCAAAGTTTAAAAAAAAAAAAAAAAAAACAAAGATGGAGCAAACCTGTCTTAAAAGGCGTCTAAGAGAGGAGCTAGTACTGCCTATAAAAAAGTGAAGATTCACTCTAACTGAAATTCCTTATAGCCAGGGGTCAACATAAAAGTGGTGCACACTTTTAATTCCAGCACCTGGAAAACAAAGGCAGGAGGATGTCTATCAGGTCCAGGCCAGCCTGGGCTACATAGTAACTTTCAAGCCAGCCAGAGCTACATTGTGAGACCCTGTCTCCAGTAAATAAATATCAAAAAACAATCAGAAAAGGAAATCTCAATTGCTAATGAATTTAAGATAATGTAAACAAAACAGAAATATAGTTACTCGGACCTTTTCGGACTTCTATTAGCTATGCTACATCAAATATAGTTTTGTATTTCAAGTTATATTTACTCAAGAAGAAAAAGCAGTAATTGCTTTTATTATGATAAAAATAGCAATGATCAAAGCACATACTAAGGTAGTACACTTAGTAACAGTAAGCCATCCTAAGTTTTTTCTTAACAGATCAATGTGGTTTGAGAGTCCTTGTACACTGGAAACTGGGTCCCAGTGTGCTCGTGGTGCAAACAGTGTGTGCTCATGGTGCAGACAGTGGGGCTGGGTCCCCAGTGTGTTCAT